ACCTTTACAGTAGTGAATAAGGAGCAAACCCCTTATTTAGGTACTAAGCAGAAAACAGAATTCTACCAGGTAAAGTATACAAGAAAATGTACAAGATTGAAGAAATTCTTTAGATGGGGGTGAGCTGAGAGAGGTCCTGATCTCACCCAAAGGAAAGCTCCCTGTAGACTCTAGGGAGGCATTTTGATAAATGCTTTTACATTAAGCAGGTCGTATCATTTGGTTGACTGTTCATAATAAGGCACTGCAGGTTCTTTTGAGCTACACTTTTAAGAGCGTATCCTCAGGAAGTACTTTGAAACCTAAGAGTGGTCTTTTCCCCACCCCACCCCCTACAAACCTATGAGTGAGGAGCTATATGAAGAAAGTACTTTGTAAACTTTAAAGTTCAAAAAAACCTATATAAAAGTGAATTTATATAGTGCCACCTAGAATTAACTATGGCTCAGAATCAGGCTGTGGGAAGTTGGGATAGGATTCCTGGTCTAATTTCTTTCTCATAAGCAAGAAGTCTCACATTGTCCTAAAGGAGTACATAGCAGGTCAGGCCTATTTGTTTTAGTTGTGTGCAATGAAATGTTTTATAGGTAAATACACTTCTCATTCTAATGTTCTAAGGCCATGCATAGAACATGGTAGAACCCAATCTACAAGAAAATGTAGCATCCTCCTAAGTATCCTTAGAGGGTGTTTGGGCAGGGGAAAGGGGAGGAGAGTAAGCAGATGTCCTAACTGTATATGTAAATGATAAAATAAGGTAGGTCCTCATAGATTTTGTTGTTTCAACGTGGCTCAGTAAGGCTACTTTGAGAACAGTATACTACTCCCTTTGTATATTTGGTGGAATTACATTGTATCCCCTGGCTTCTCTCCCCATATCCTCAATACAACATCTTTACACAAGTGAAACCTGGTAAATACTTTGGAAGTTATATTGTCCAACCCCTTCATTTTCCATCTAATGAAGTAACTAGCCAGGCACTGCTTCATTGAAACCTCAGGGGTCGTCAACCTACACCAGTCCCTGGTGTTTGTCTGTCACTGAGGTTCAGGAGCCAATTGGAGGAGGGAAGAAACTCAACCTGCCAATGAGTCATATATAGCCAGGAGCAGGCAGAGGATATGTATACACGCTCAGATTTCTACTGGCCTCTCCCCCTCCCACAGACAAAAATATTTGCACATACTCCAAAGGTGGGAGAAGAAAGAGAGTAGGTGTTAAAAGCAGATGAAGAAATCTAAGCCCAAAGAATTTAAGTGATCTATCCAAGGTCACACAGGTAGAAAGTGGGAGAAACAGGATTCAAAGGGGTCAGATAGATACTTTGACTTCTTTCTAGAGGGCCATACTCTCAGTGAGTGATACGGTGATCACAGAGAGGCTCATTTTAGGACAGGATTTCAGAGATGCAGAGAAAAGATAATGTGATTTTTTTAAAGACAAAAATACCGTTCTAGAGAGAGGATTGGGTAAGCAAATGTGTTTTTTTTTTTTAAAGAGTAATCTGGGGGCAGCTAGGTGGCGCAGTGGATACAGCACCAGCCCTGGATTCAGGAGGACCTGAGCTCAAATCTGGCCTCAGACACATAACACTCACTAGCTGTGTGACCCTGGGCAAGTCACTTAACTCCATTGCCTGGCCAAAAACAAAAACAGAATAATCTGTAAATGGGGTCAGCCCTCAGCAAAAGTACATCATAGGATAGTACAGCTTTTTTTTTCCCCCATCACCACTGTTACTCTCATGTCATATTCCACATTTGGCTCTCAAATCACTTCCTAGATTTCCCAGGCCCTTTTCTGGCTTCTACAAAGACCTAGTCCTCCAATGTCTACTAACATCCTATTCTCTAGGTCTTTCCTGATTCTCCATCAAAATGTATATAGTCCCATCTTTTTGCTGTATGATAAGAAATCGTTATCTTGCTGACACATTCAGGAATGGCAACTGTTAACGTTTTATCTCTTTTTAGGGAAGAAGCTTGACACAACAAAAAGCACTGGACCAGAACTCAGGACACCTGATATGACATTTATTAGTTATGTGACCTTGGGTAAATGTGACCTTGAGCTATAATGAGCCTCAGTTTTCTCATCTATAATATGGATAATGTAAATACATGTATTTGAGTGCCTACCCATCACAGGTTGTCAGATGTAGGGAAAAGTGCTTCATTTAACTTTAAGATATTGCATAAATGTGGATTATTATGTCTAGGTAGCATTTGTATGTTAGGAACTTTCTGGAAAAAGAAGAGTCTGGTGTGCAAAATTTTAGGCCAAACTGCATTGGGGTTACCATTTGGGGCTAGTGTTTGGGGTATGCCTCTAAAGATAGACTGTGGGCAGGTTGATGAATGAGTGAATGAAAAATCACTTATTAAGCCTAGTGTATGCTTACTTTATTATATGTACTATATGTATTATATTTACTTTATTAAAGTACTAAGAACTACACTAAGCAATGCAGAAACAAAGAAAGTCCCTTCCCTCAAGGACCTTATACTCTGACAGTGAGAGATGAAGGAGTGGTAGCCAGGGAAGAGTATTTTGGCTTAGAAAGTCACAAGGATTGTTGTATCTACCATACAGATACAACCATAGGTAGACACAACCATAGGGAAGTAGATTTGACTCACCCTTTTCAGTAGCAATACAATATTGTTGACTATGTTTCTATTGCTGTAATTTGGGTGGTGGGGAGAGGGGTAGGGCAGGGAGGGGCATGACAGGAAGGCATGTAGTGGCAGAAGAGATGGTGAAACTATAAAGTAAAGTATCACTGCTATTAGTACAGCATCTAGTATTTCTAGTAGAAGCTTGATTAATTGATGATTAATTTGATGAAAGATTGATACTCTACCTAAAGCAGGAGACCCACCATGAGTATGATGATCCACCAGTCAACACTATAAATAGAATGATTGGATTTTCTACCTGGAAAGGACCTTTAAGGTCATCTAGTCCTACCCCTCATTTTACAGATGAGGAAACTGAGACCCAGAATGATGAAATTACTTTGTCAAGTCCAAACAGCTAATAAAGTAATAAAGCAAGGACATGAACTCAGACCCTCTCACTCTAAATCTAGAACTCTTTCTATTGCATCACACTGCCTCATGATGCTATGTAATCTTTTCATTGAATATTGCTGCCACTTGCCTTTGCAGAGCATTTCACCATGGGAGCTCCTCCCACAAGTCTCTCCATCATCCTGACAGTTTAATGAAGAGAGAGGCACTCCTTCTTCACTGTCGGCTCTGAAGTCAGCCTTTCTATCAGTGACTTCCCTGCTGTTGAGTCAGGGACAGCATAAAAAGGGCATCACAAAGCCCCACTGGCTTTCTTTGGTGAACATATAATTGCTTGAGTTCATGGCCCACTAATAAGTTCTCCAAAATTTTCTGTTTTGCATCAGAGCTTGAAAGAAAAGCTATTTCCTAGGGTGACAAGGAGAAGAGGTTTGGTGGAGAGGGAAAACAGTTGTGCTGAGTAATTGTGCTTTAAACTATCTCTCAGTTCAATGATTCAGTTTTTAATCAGGGCTAAATTTATCCAATCTCTCCTGGACTTACAATAGACCAGCTGCCAAGCAAATTGTGATACAGTCAGCAAAGGTAGAAAATGTATCCTCATACATCTGAGACCAGAGAGGAAATCCTTTCTAGTGAAATGCAGCAGCTAACAACAAAATTAAGTGAACCAGAAATAATGGCGACTCATGAATGAATGAATGACTCTCCTTGCATCGGCAACGTCTTCCAAATGCCCTTAAATCACTCTGTCCTGTAAGTGTTCATTCACCTACAGAAGTACGTGTCTGTTCTCTGACCAGAAACATGTAGGGAATCAGCACAGGAAGCAAGGTTCAACTGCCCATCTCTCGCCATACTTGAAATATGAGTTCATACAGAGAGCTCTCAATTATCTGCAGCAGGGTTTATCCACGGAGAATCTGGCTCTGGAGTTCTTGAAATCACTAACTACTGTATTTAATTAACATATTTAATGAGCTCTGTTTGGGTTAGCCCAGGAGCAGCTAGACATTGAAGCCTTTTAAACAAGTGTTTAATTATTGGTACAGCCCCTCAGAAGGCCTGAGTTTGGAGAACCAATAACTTTAAGCTGTCAACTCTGAAAGCAAATGGCCAAGGAGTCACAGAGGTTTTGCAACTGCCGTTAACTCTAAAAATCCCAAAGGTGATCACAACCACAGTTAACTCTGAAAAATAAAATACATAAAGAAAGAAAACCAAAGTGCTAACAGTGGTCATAAAAAGCTTTCTTTATTCCTTTGGAGGCTGGAAACTGGACACATGTGCCTGGTCCTCCTCTAGCAGGGCCTACTTTAGTGTGGACAAATCTCAATGCCTGTACTAATGGCTATGCAGTCAGTTGTAGCCCTGACAATGAAGGGTAACTGCAGCAATGAGCCAAGTTCGATTCATAACAGGAATACATGACCAGAACTCGGGTACTACAGGTGCTTGTCCCAAATCAGAGACTGGGTGTGCTGGTGCTGGTGTGAAACAATTCTGAGATTCTGCTGTGGCTGAGTTCATACAGAGAGTGGATGTGAAGGATTGTTGTTATGCCAAGCTCAGGGCACAGATTGCTTGCTGAGCCTTCACTCTGGAAAACCAGGTGTTTCCTAATAGTAACAAGACAGGAATAAAAAGAGAGGGGTGGTCTTGGCAGGCCACTCTGTTTTAGGTGGCTGTTTTATATCAGCCTGGAAAGGGATAATATCTTTCCCTAATATGAAGGATAAAATGAAGAGCTGAACAAGGGGGCTAGATGAAAAGCCCTATACACCTTTGTGTCAATCTGACTTTGTTATACTTGAACTCCACTCCATTATCATGGAAGCATGAGGCGATGAAAACATTATCACATTTACTGCTAACATTTTCTAACATTTCTAATCAATTTCCAGGAATTTGACTCTAATTTTCATTTTACTTTTTTAGGAAGAATCCTGCAAAATTGAAGGTTGTGACCAAGATTCGGTATTTTAGTAGGGTAAGAGGTCAGAGATCCAAGCTGGGCAAGAAGCCCAGGTAGGAGTGTCATCTAAGACTATAGAACAGATATAGGTCAGGGTTTGAATCTGAGCCTATTTCCTTTACTCCTGGAATTGTAGTGGGGATCCTGGAAGCTGGCCATAGTCCCATTACAATACCCCAAGGATCATTCTGGCTATAATACTACACTTTCATCACTTTCTACTTTTTAGAACACTTTTGCATATAATCTCACCAATTTCACAGAGAAGGGTTCTGGAACACTACAATGAGTTTGTCTAAGGCTACATAGTAGTTAGCTGCAGAATAAGGCTAAAATTTAGTTCTGCCAACTTTCGGCTCATGACTCTTCCCAGGAAACATTATAAAACATAGGCTTAAAGGATTCAGAAGCTGAGAGGGACCTTGGAAAACACATAACACAACACTTTAATTTTATACACAAGAAAACTGACGTCCAGAGAATGGAAGCCACTTGCTCAGAATGACACAGGTAATAAATGACAGGTCTTCTGACTACAGATCCAGTGTTCTTTCTATTACCTAATATTGTCCTAAATATATAAAACCATGGAAATTTAGAGTTGAAATTGACTTTAGAAACCATTTAGTTCAATCTCTTCCTAAATATGAATGCATCCTATAACATTCATGATAAGTGCTTATCCAGACTCTACTATAAGATCTCCAGTGATAGAGATTCCATAATCTTTCGAACCAATCCATTCAATTTTTTTGACAGCTTCAATTATTAGGACATTACTTTTTATATTAAGTCAAAATCTACTTCTCTCAAATTTTTACAAAACTATTCCTATTTCTGTCCTCTGGGACCAGACAGAATAAGTCTAAAACTCTCCCACATAATAGCCTTTCAAACACCGGAAGGCAACTATAATGTTCCTCTCAAATCCTCATTTCTTCTCTTCTCCAGGCTATACATCCCATTTTTTCTACACTTCCCTATATGCCATAGTTTAGAATCCTATCACATCCTGGTTCCTCTGTTCTGGACTCTCTTCAGTTTGTCAATGGCTTCCCTAGAACTAAATATGATACTCAGAGCAGTCTGATCATGGCATCAGATAGTAGGACTATCACCTCCCTCATTTGGAATACTATACTTTCACTTATTCAGTCTGAGTGCATTAGTTTTTCTTAAGGCTGTCATGTCACACTGTTTAATGACATTGAGCATGAAGTCAATCAAAATCTCCAGATCTTTTTCACACAGCCTATTGTCTAGCCACACCTCTCCCACCTTAGACTTCTGAAGTTGATTTTTTGAACTTTACCTTGGTCAATACTAAATTTTGTTTTATTAGATTATGCTCATAATTTTAGCCTGTTGGAATCCTGACACTCAATCAATATGCTGGTCATAAACTGACTCTGTCATGTTTCTTTACAGTTCCCTGCTCATCATTCAGTGTTCGAATTGCTTTAGAACGCGCTTCCTTGAGTTTGTAAATACATGTATACAACAATAAGAATGTATACAACAATAACATTATAAAAACAAATAATTTTGAAAGCTTATGATTCCAGAGGATCAATGATGAAACATGCAATCCATTACAGAGAAGTGATGAATGCAGGTTTCGAATGAGACATGAGTATGTATACACAAACATACTTGTGTTTGTATACATACATGCACATGTACATACACACACAGAAGCCAGGTTGCTGAAAGGATAGTACACCAGGCATGGAGTCAGGAAGACCTAAGTTCAAATCCAGCCTCAAACACTTACTAGCTGTGTGGTCCTGGGCAAGTCACTTAACCCTATTTGCTTCAGTATCCTCATTTGTAAAATGAGCTGGAGAAGGAAATGGCAAACCACTCAAGTATCTTTGCCAAGAAAATCCCAAATGAGGTTACAAAGAGTTGGACATTACTGAGATGACTGAACAGCATATATATACACATATATGTTTGTGTATATATACACGTGTACATATATGTATCTGCATATATCTGTGTATGCATGTGTACATATACATACAGATATATGTATATGTATTTTTGTATAGCTAGTAGGGGATTTTGTTTTGCTTGAATATGCATATTTGTTCTAAGAAATTTGCTTAAATTTTTTTAATGGAGCGGGAATGGGAAGGGGAGAAAGTAGATTTCTGCTATTTTTTTTTAATAAAGAGGTAAGGGGAGTCCTATTGATGTGAAATGTCTCATATACTTTCAGATGAGGTCACAGTATTATTAGCTTTACTTAAATGTTTTACTTTGTTACAAGAGACTGCTTACAAAAAGGGAGTTACCCTAAATGTATGTAATATAAAAACAAAACATGTCATTAGCCTTATCCAAAACAAAAGGGGAAAATATACAAAACTACTACATCAATAAAACGAAAGGGTAAAAATGTTTAATTTATTTTAAAAATAAAGCCAAGAGAAAAGGAAGAACCAAGAGTTACTGGAGTAATGGGGGTTGAGGAAAATAGCCCCATGAAGTAAACACATAGGAAATTTCAACTTGAAATGTAAAAAATAAATAATAATTCTGAAAGACTTCCATCATAGTCCATTTATCTCACCAAAGAAATTTCCCTGAAAAAGCTATGTATATAGAGGAGGTTGCTCTCTACTTTGACAAACCCAATATAGCCTTCAGATTGTGATAATGAAACAAGAAATGCTTCACACTAAGGCTTTGGTTGGATGCCTATAGCTCCCAATAGCTGAACTAAAAAAATTCCAGGTCTTTTTTGTCTCCATCCCAGTCTTTCTACATTTGCATCAAATGAGGGAATTCTTCGCCTGCAGATAAAATATTGATTTTTTTTTAATGTGATGTTGCCATCTGTACATTAATTAGAAGCACCAGGGGTGGGGAATCTGCAGCCTCGAGGTCACATGTGGCCCTCTAGGTCCTCCAGTGCAGCCCTTTGACTAAATCCAAATTTCACAGAACAAATCCCCGTAATAAAAGGATTTGTTCTTTAAAACTTGGACTTAGTCAAAAGGCCACACTCGAGGACCTAGAAGGCCACATGTGGTCTCAAGGCTGCAAGTTCCCCACCCTTGAACCAGACTCTCTGCTTTGGATCTCTCCAGTTGCTAGATGCAAAAATATTAACAATCTTTAGGTTGATGCAGGTTCTGACAGCCACTTGAGAGAAGAAACTGTTGCCCCTCTCCCACCTCTCAAAGACAGAACAGGATTCCTTTTTGAATCTCTGACAAGTGACTAGATATGATGAAAATGTATATATGCAAAATCCAGCACCTTTGGATACCTTGAGATCTGTCTCCAGCTGCCATTCCTTGATTATATATCTGCATTTATTTCTTGAAGGAAGGGAGGGGAGGGAGGTTAGGGCTAAAACAGACCATTATCAATGCTGATGAAAATTTTAATGTGCCCAAAGTTACTTACCTTTAAATAGCAACTGACATTTGCAAAGCGCTTTGTAAATACACTCATTAGTGTGTCCTTCCCAGTACTAACGTTAGATAGATGGGTACAACTCTGCTTCTTGGGCACCTGGTAGCTACAGTAACCAGGATCTCTTTCACAACATTCTTTAAAAGTGATGGATTTGGAGTTGGACTTGGATTCAAATCCCAACTATTCTAGTTATTATTTTATGATCTTGTGGAAGTCACTGAACCTCCCTGGGTTTCCTCAGTTTCCTCAACTAAAAAAATAATAACAATCACAAAACAATAATGGCAATAACATTTACATAGCTCTTCTAATAAGAATACCTAATAATAGTTAACATGTATGTAGTGTTTAGTATGCTCCTGGCATCATGCTAAGAACTTTACAATTATGATCTCATTTGACCTTCACAACAACCCTGGGAGGTAACTGCTTTTTATTAGCCCCATTTTACAGATGAGGAAACTGAGGCACAGAGTAAGTGCATTACATGTCATTTCATCCTCACAACAACCCTGAGAGGTAGGTGCTATTGTTGTTTCCATTTTAGAGTTGAAGAAACTGAGAGGATAAGTAGTTTGCCTAGAGTCACATAGCTAGTAAATATCTGAGGCAGTATTTGAACTCAGGTCTTCTTGATTCCAACTCCTAAACTCTATCTACTGAGCCACCTAATAAGAGGGTAGGAAGAGATTGGAATAGAGGGCTTCTAAGACACCTTCTAGATTAAAACACCAACTATAGCTATTGATACAAAGTACCATGTAGGCATGATTGCTGTCAGGTTGGTTCAAACTTTCAGGAAACTTGAATGGAGCCATGTCCAGCATTCACTTCACAGCAGAGACCAAAGCACCAAGAGGTAGCCCCCATTCCTGGTTGATTATTGCTTCAGAGAACCCCACTCACTTTAGTTTGATGAGGTTATTTATTTGTAGGGTCATAGATTTAGAAATGGAAGGATCCTTCGATTTCATCTCTAGACCAGCTCCCTCATTTTTGTAGAAGGCTTCAGAGACTCAGAGCTGTAGACCTGGAAGGGACCTCAGAAATCATATAGTCAAAGCCCCTAACTATACAAATAAGGAAAACTAAGACCCAAGGAGCTACATCATTGGTTGATGGTTACACAGTTAGTTACTAAGTGGCAGAGCCAAGATTTGAATTTGGATGTTCTAACCCCAATTCCAATATGTTTTCCTCCCACATTGTATTATTTTCATTGCTTTCTCCCTGTCCTTTTCAGTTTAAGCCCCTCTGATTAGATTTACAAGACTTTAGGCCAGGGGTTCTTAACACAGAGTCCATAAACTTGCAATACATACATACATACTTATGTATGTATGTACATGTGTATATGTAGCAAATACGTGTGGCAAAAAACTCCAAAAGAGTTTCTGGGTAATTGATAATCAATTGATTAATTAGGCTAGCCAGCAACCAATAAATTGAAGGTCAGTGGTTTCTCTCAGTAACCAAAGACAACCAGTGGAGACACTGAATGCCTTAAATATCTTTATAAAAAGGAATGCACCTGACAAGTGAAAATCAACCCTGATTGGTAGACATTTAATGAAGAGGTAGGCTAGAAGTCTTTAGCTCCTCCTGATCATAAGATTCAGCTGCCTCCAGCAATCTGGACAGGAGAATCCATCACCATCCAGATCACTCTGGCTGGTTTTCTCCTCCATGGGCTGGGTCACCCTAAACTCTAATGGAGGGGTACAAGGAGAAGGTCAGACTGGATTCTGTTTACACTCTAAACAGAAGTTAGGTCTCCTAGTTGTGTGGGGTTCCACCCAAGATTGAATAGCATGTTTCCTTGACAGCTAGGGATAATCTCATCAATCACTCATGTCCTTCAGAGACTGACTTTTTATAGGAGCTGGGCCTTAATCAGGAAATAAAGGAGAAAAGCCTGGGTCCCAATTTAATAATTGGTTATTAATATAATTATAAAATAATAATTTCTTTCATGTTTGTATGTATATATATATATATATGTACACATGTGTGGGGGTATATACAATATGTAAACAATGTATATGCATGTATGTAGACATGTATGCATACATGCATATACACAAATCCACATATACAACACACATATGTAGTAAGGGGTATAGCATTATAAAATTTTGGGTGAGAAGCATTTAAAAACATTATTCTGCAAAGGTGTCTTTAGACTTCACCAGACTCCTGTAGGATTCCGCAACACAAAAACAGTTAATCCATGCTCAAGGCAAATACATTTTCCCCAGTTGTTGATTCCATCCCTCACCAAGAAATCACAATTCCTATATTTTAAGTCATGGTCTACAAGCTCCGATCTCATTTTGTGATAGGATTGTAATGATTCAAATTCTGAAACCCACTGCTCTCTTCTGAAATCTCTTCTTATATCTCAGATCAGTATAACTGACAAAAACAACATTATATCTGTGTTTTTAGGAGCAGGCGCTGTGGAGGGCTTAGAGCTTGGTCAGACATCAAAGATGCCAATGTCATCCACTGTGTCCTGGGCCCGTCGACAGTTGTCCTGACTTTTGTCTTGCCACCGGACTTCAGTGACTCTGGAACGGAGAGCGAGGCTCTGCAACTCTGTCTCACTTAAAGAATTCATGTGCCAGTCAAGACATGATCCCATGATGTCACTGATCCTCTTCAAAAACAAAGGACACGCAGCAACAACAGCACAGTGCCTGGCACAGAGTAAGCTCTATATAAATGCTAATTATTATTAGTAGTATTGTTATAGACATCTTAGACTCAACATATCCAAAATAACTTGTTATCTTTCTCCCAAGACCCTGTCCTCTTCCAAGCAGCCCTATTTCTGCCAAAGGCACCACCATCCTCCCAGTCCTCAAGACTCACGATGTAGGTATCATCCTCAGCTTCTCACTCTCTCATCTATACCCAGCATGTTGCTAAGTCCTATTGATTTTACCTTTGCAAAATCTCTCATATATACTCCCTTCTCTGTTTTTACACTATTTCTACCCTGGTGCAGAATCACCTCATGCCTGGATTATTGCAATTTAGATAAACTAACTTGGTTGTTCTCCCTGCCTCGACTCTGTCTCCATTAAAGCACATCCTCAATTAGCTTGCCAATGGGCTCCTTCTAAAGTGTTGGTCTCATCATGTTACTCTTGTAATCAGTCAATTCTAGTGATTCCCTACCACCTCCAAGATTAAATAAAAAATCTTGCATTCGGCTTGTTGAACCCTTCACAACCAGGCCCATTCCTACTTTTCCAGGCCTCTCACACCTTGCTTCCCTTCACAGATTCTATGACCAATGACACTGACTTACTTTTTCGCACAAAACACTTCATTTCTTAACTCTATTCCTTTCGTTGACAGTCCCCTGTGTCTGAAATGCTCTACCTTCTCACCCTTTCACCTTAAATTCCCTAACTTCCTTCAAGTTCTAATTCATATCCACTCTTCTTTAAGAAACTTTCCTCTGTCCTTCTTAATGTTGGTGCCTTTCCTCTGATATTACTTCCAATTTACTCTGTATATATGTTTATACACACACACATACACACACACACACACATTATATATCTATATAATGTGTGTGTGTGTGTGTATGTGTGTGTGTGTGTGTTTACATGTCATCTCCCTTATTAGAACTTGACCTCCTGGGGGGGTTGTCTTTTTTTGTTCTGTTTAGTTTTTTGTGCCCTAGCACTTAGCATAGTAAGTGGCACATAATAAGTATTGTAATAAATGCTTGATTTGATTTGACTTGATGTCACTTTCCCCAGGGCACATAAACAAAAGTGAGACACATCTGTGTGCTTGAGATTTCTTAGGGTAAGTAGACACTACAGATGGCTACGGAAGTCTACATACAAAGAAGAGAACCATGGGCTCCCAAAGAGCACTATAACCTCATCAACTCATTGTATCTGAGAAAGCTTTCAACTATGATTTGACCTACGGCTGAACCTTACTTCTCCTGAGGAACAGCATTGGTTAGTTTCCTGATCTGCAGCCTTCTGATAAACCCTGTGGTATCCTTTCTAGGGGATGGCTATCATGTTCTAGTGCTTAGGCAGCCAGGTAGAGGACGAGAAACTCTATCCTGGGAAAAGGAGATAGTCTCTGAATCAGATCTAGCTGTAAAGCAAGAACCCAGCCAAATCAATATAATTGCTTCTCCCTAGCACCAAGCTCTAAAGGACTAAGAAAAAGAAGAAAACCAGAGGTTGTGATGCAGATTCTGGCCTGGAGGTCAGTATTGAGTGGATCAAGAGGGCAAATATGGGGCATGTCAGAGAAACTAACCATTTGTTATATTTGATCCTTCTCACTAAAGCCTCCATCCTTTTTATTGGCTCCTTGTAGTCCCTAATCTTGGCTTACTTATTGTCCTAGGCTGGGGGGGGGGAGGGAGGGTGTAACCTCCCCCCTCCAAAAAACTGTGATTTTTCTCCAAAGCTGTGGTTTCTGGATAAGCCTACCTTTGCATATATTATGGTTACTTACTAGTCCTATTGGGAACAGGATTCCCAAGTATTGTGTCCCAGAATAGACAGATGATAGACAGATAGATAGATAGATAGATAGATAGATAGATAGATAGATAGATAGATAGATAGATAGATAGATAGAAGGATGGATGGATGGATGGATGGATGGATGGATGGATGGATGGATGGATGGATGGATGGATGGATGGATAAGTAAATTGAACAGATCTGTATTGAGTTCTTACCATATTCTTGCCGTCAAGGAGCTTACATCCTATCGGGAGATACAGTGTCATGGTCTAGAGATGGCAGGGAAGAGGGGTAGAGGTTTGGGTCTGGTCAAGATGAAGGAAAAAAAGGGAAGAGGGAAGGAAGGATTTATTAAATTTTTACTACATACAAAGCAATGTGCTAAGTGCTAAAGATACAAATAGAAAAGTGAGACCGTCTCTGCTCTCAAAGAGTTTTTGCATTCTAAAGAGAGAGACAACACATACAAAAGGTTTCAGCCACAAGTCAGATGGTAGAGTCCTGTGGTCCTTAAGGTACAGTGGCAAAATAGATTTAATGCCTCTTCTTTAATGATATTTCCACTGATAAAAATCATATCAGTTTCTGAGGTTGAACTATTTTGTAGTACCAAGGACTTTAATAGTGAGAACTTTGCTTCTCTGAGTGTTTATTAGTAGCTATGGCTAAGACAGCATAAAATATATTGAAAGCTTAGCTACCTAAATCCAGAATGTTTCAGAGCAAAAGGTACTATTGTACTTAACTATCTCTCCCCTTCCTTGCCTACTTTGTACCACGCTAGTGCATCCACGCTACGTGCTCCTGCCTGAGGTTATTAACACAGGAACATTTATTCCCAATGTATTCTAACTACCAAATGTAGAGTTATCTGTCATTTCAGAACCATAAAAGATGATTTCATCTTTTCTCTTTCCAGTCATTTTTGTCATTTAGTTGTTTAAGTTATGTCTGATTCTTCATGATCCCATTTTGGATTTTCTTGGCAAAGATACTGCAGTGGTTTGCCATTTCCTTATCCAGCTCATTTTACAGATAAGGAAACTGAGGCATCAAACAGTGTTAAGTGACTTGCCCTGGGTCACACAGCTAGGAAGTATATGAGGCCAGATTTAAACTCAGGAAGATGAATCTTCCTGCTTCCAAGCCCAGCGCTTGATCTGCTATGCCACCTAACTGCCCTAGTCACTGTGTTTGGTCCTAAATTGGTAAAATGCAAATTACTGATTCCTTGAATGAAAGACTTTAAAACATACCGGTAGCTTCTTTCTCACTACTGAACAAGGTGGGGAAAGAAGTCTCATTCAATATGTTTTGACCTAATTGGTCATAATCAACAGAAAGGCCCAAAATCTTTACCTAGTCTTCATCTTTTAGATTTTCCTTAGAGATGAAAAAATGTGACAAAAGCAATAGATTGATTGTTTTTGAACCAATTGCTAATGACCAACTGAAAAAATTACCCATCAAAGAGGCAGGTGATGCAGTGGAAAGAACACTGGCTCCTTGGGTTCAGATCCTGAATCTGTCCCTTACTACCTTTGCGTCTTTAGGCAAATCACTTACTCTCTCTGAGTCTCCATTTCTTCAACTATAAAATAAGAGAATTCAGCAAGATATGGCTAGAGTCCCTTCCAGCTCCAAATCTATGAATCTATGTGGAAATTTCATTAACATAATCTGGAAGACTGACATGTCATTTAAAAAAGTCCACACAATCTTAGGTGTTCATCTATGCTCATTCAGGTGTGTGTGACAGACAGAGACAGCAAGAAAGACTGAGAGAGAAAGAGAGATAGAGATGGATGGAGACAGAGAAACAGAGAGAAAAAGATATACAGAAAGAGTCAAAAACAGAGTGAGAGAGAAGCAAAATTTAAAAAAAAATTCTATTTGTGCGAAGTTCTTATTCTTCCTTTGCATTTGGGGCTCTGGATTTACAGAAGTCATTAAAAGCTCAACAGAGCTGACTTCAAAGACAAGGGGCTCGATGGAAGGGTGATTACATGAGACCGTGTCTGATTTAATCTGACAATCAAAGCCAATCAGCTGACAGACTTTATGGTAAAGCTAGCACAGACTGAATCAAGGCTTGAGGAGCAATGCTTCTGACAGGGGAGGCAGAGCCCTTATAAGTGACTGACTCATTTCAAAGGCTTGTGATCTTTTCAGACCCTGACTGGAGGAAATGCCAAACAATTCACAAGATAAATGGACTTAGTCCTACCAATCACTGAGCCACAATGCTCTCTACCCAGCTCTGGCTTTCCCTATAGCCCCAAACTACTTTTTCTTTCCTTCTCTTTCTTTCTTTTTCCCTTCCTTCCTTCCTTCCTTCCTTCCTTCCTTCCTTCCTTCCTTCCTTCCTTGCTTTTTGAGAAAAGACAGAAACTTATTTATTTGTGAATAAACGTTGAAGACCCACCCCAACCCCTCCTTTCAACCCCTTTACAAAACTTCTAAATGTGGAACATTCTTATAAATCCCTCAGTAGCCTATCATTTTAATAGATTAGAAGGTCAGCAAAAATCCAATTTTCTAACAAAGAGTATTATAAGAATGGTTCCAAAAATTAAAGTAACTGAACATATACCTGTCAAATCACTGAGCTGAAGGCTGAAAATCAAATCCAGTTTCTGATCTACAAGCATCATTAATGTAGCCATCTGCTTAATACACAGAATTGATTTGACATGAAGTCAAAGTAGGGTACAACAACAAGCAGCAGAGAAGTCCATAGGCACATCATAATACAGATAGCACTCCAACTATGCCCATAAGATCCAACAACATGATAACAGAAAGGCTAAGTCCCTTCTCAGCTGGACACCTACAGTAAGCCTGTGGTATTCCTCATGTAATGGAAGAGATCACTATTGTGGGTAAGATCAGTGCCTTGAGAAGGAAAGAACTGAACTTCAATAATGTGGATTATTCAAGAGTAAGTTGCAAATGCAGGTATAAGACAAAAGCTGTTGGAAAACCTCAGTGGAATAGAAGATAACAAAAATATTAAGAGACAATGAACAACTGTACAATCTCAATAATATATGTAGGTTGCTCAATGTTGTTCCAGGACACATTTTTTATAACCATGTGCTATTTGTTTGAATTATACCATTAGAACTGAAATCGTTGGCTGTAATTTCCCTTAAAATGTAGCCGCACACTTTGTAACACATTATGAGCTTCCCTTTCTTCCTCCTCAATTAAAGGGGAACTATTATATTTGAATAACTAAGTATATTTTGATCACTCTAGAATTCTCAGGAATACATTCAGTATATTCCAGAAAATCTGTAGGATGGATAGGGAACCCTAAATTTTGACAATGGGAACACCGATGATCCTTATCTTGCAATCTCAGGGCAGCTTGAGGACCTCCTAAGATTACCAGATTAGATGGAGGAAAGGGAGAATCTGTTCCAGTCAGTAAAGCAGCTTTGAATCCAAAGGAACCCTAGAGATAATTTAAATTTTTTTTCAAAATAACAAGCATTTATTATCTTTCTTTATCACCTCATCTTCCCAATTGAAAAATACAAACAAAAACATAACCCTTGTAACAAATCTGCATAGAAAACTTAAAAGAGTCCCCATATTGACCATGTCTGGAAATACAACTTTTAACTTTATTCTGCTATTTCTTGTTCCTCATGGAATCATTGAATTCTATTGGCTCCATTCTGTTTTCCAGGGAGTCTACTATTTGGGTGAAGGTTTCCAACTTTGATTCTAAGCTATGAACTCCCGAAGGTAAAAATCCCAGGACTAGATGGATTTACAAGCCCTAGAGACCTTGAAGTATTCCTGTGATAGCATATCAATTCTAAAACACTTCTTCCCCCCATAATGGAAGAAATTTGAGACTCTCAGAGTAGGCCCAAAAGACTGAATATGTGGATATTATATTCGTTTTTATTCAGCATATCAGATGTCTAGTGGTTTGGCCTCCTGGCATGCTGGTACCCAGGATGGGCCTATAAGAATTGGGATGAAAAAGAGTATATCTCTAGAACTCTTTAAACCAAGTGAGGATTATACTCAAATCTACAAGTTGTTAGGAATGAATATGCAGGATTGGACAGGGAGGTTTCAGCCAATACACAGGTGTTGAGGTAGTCTACTTAGTGGACAAATACTATCAGTGGGAGAATAGTACTAAGAAATCATTTACAACAGTGGTAAAATGATATCAAACCATCAAATCTGGGTTGGGGACAGGACAGGTTGGGAGAAGTAGAAGAGGAAAAGGTAGAGATATAGAGATAAAAGAAGGGGACAGAAAAGAGTGAAGAGACAGACAGACAGACTATTCTAAGAAGCAGGAAAGGTGAAGGGGGTGGTCATCAATAGGAATTAGTTATGGGTAGAGGATGGAGCCAAAGTCAACAAAACCAAAAGATGGTGAGACTAGAGCTGAACTGAGTTCAAAGCCACCAACATAGATGATGTAGCAAGTTTTCCAAAAAGACCTTTTTTTTTTATTAAGTAGCATACCTTAATATAAT